TTTTAACCCAAACAAAGGTAACCGAGGAGTTACCACGAAAATTAGAAATCAGGGGCCAGATTCTGATGGAGTTGTTGAATGAGTAGTTAGTTCCCTACTGCACAAATACCCCACTGAGGTCAAACCCTAACATGAATAATGGTGCCAGAATCTGCGGGTTAGACGGAAAAGGTTAGTCATGTAAGAGAGAGAAACAGGGGATGTAGGCTGTTTAGCTCCTGTTTACATCAGTTTACTCCACTGCATTCTTTCCTTCTTTGTTTATGTTGTTTTTTCCTATGCGAGTAATGAAAAATAAGGTGGCGATGGTTAGTAGCCAGTGGAACCATTTACTCTGTTCCCCAGTGCTTCATAAGCCAATTGACTAAAGTGCTGTATATTTGATCCTACAAGCTCTCCTAGTTGGACTCCATCAGAGGTCTTTTTGTATTCTATACTGTATCTTACAGGTTTTTATTCTGTATGTTCACAAATAAATAGCCCAATAAAACCAATGAAGACTCAAGTGGTAAGATAGGAAAAGGGAAATGCCTTTACAGATTTTAAATATGATTTAAAATGGAGCAGCTATACTATAGGGATGATGCATATGCCGCTACCTAGATTTAGAAGAAAGTTCCTGGATGAGACTGTAGATTAAAATTCTGGTTTATCTTGAACAAAGAAAGATTTAGTCAATATGTAGAAAATCTCTTCAGGTTTTAAATGCTTCACTTAGAGATTTTACTAGGATGTACTATAGTTTGGAAAAGGCTTGGGACCTGTTTTATTAAATCTTGACATCTTTAGGAAGTATTATAAACAAAGATCTGTTAGGGAACACTGTGTTTCACCTACTGTGCTAGAAGAATCGCTCCTCAGAGGCCTATGAAAAAACAAATGGTTTTAAAGCCAGCAAAAGTTGAAACTTCTGAGTGAAACAGACCTGCGTTGTGCTGGTTGTTTATCCTATAATTTTATAAGGTGATTATTACAAATCTCAGAATGTAATGCTGAAGAATTTGGAAGAGAGGTTAATAACTCCCAGTTGGGAGTTTATTTTCCTCTTGGAAGAGAGAATGAGTTTTGCTGCCCAGGTTTTGTGATTAATAATCCCTCAATGCTAACTTCACTCCTGCTAGACCACCGGGGTGAGGAATGGTTGTTTATAAACTGAAGAACTCTCAACAATAGGGTCCTAGGAATAATTCAATGAAATAAATCAAATTTAGGATGCAGCAATAGTATAATAATCAGAATAGTTAGACTTATGAGAGCAAAAACGTACAGTCAGACTGACCCACTGCCTATAAAAGCCAGTGGGGGGTCTTTCCATCCTCTTCAGTGATCATAGGATCAGACCCTTCATGTTCTTTGAGGAGACCAGAGGAGCCTTCATTGAAAAGTAGATGGCACATTTCTGCAGTGCTAGAAGTACTGCAGAGTCCTGCAGGAAATCAGCCTCATGGTTCTACCAAGCAGGAGCTTGCAGATTCTACAGGCCTGATCCTGCCCTCAGGTAAATCAGGAGTAACTTCATTGATGTCACCAGACACGCTGGTGTAAAACTGATGCAGGCGATAGGAGAATCAGGCTTTGTGTCTCCATGGTACCTGTAGCAATGGAAACTCCACCACAGAAAGCACTCATCCAGAGGTCTAGGTGCCCCTGACATACATTTAAAAACAGAAGAATGTAGGAGATCTAAGCACAAATTGACCGAAGCAGCTGTGCTTCAGTGATGGGCTCAATATTTCTGTAATTTTTTAAAAAAATCTTTCAGGTATCACGGGAAAATAATGTAATCTCTGATTTCTTTAGAGAATGTAGAGGACTGTGGCCATTAAACAGGGAACAAATCTGCTCTCCATTCTGAATACAATGCAGATAACAGACCAGAAGGTTAGCTGTGACACACTGAGGTTTTCTGCAGGGGTTATGAAGAACAAAGCTACTTTAGGAGAAAGGGTTGAAACAGAAGTATATAAATGGAAAAGAAAATAGTTAGATGACTATCAGACAGGAATAAGAGAGTGTGTGTGGAATCAGGATAAGGGCCCTTTGCTCCATTCCATTGCAATGCATGGAGGAAATCAAACCACGCCACAGATTGCAGCTAAATGGGAAGAGTAGAGTGAAACCTACATGGCATCTCCCCAAACCTGCTGAGCCAGTGGCAGCCCATTTAAACACATAATTTTGGATATTGTAGCTGAAGGGGAGCAATAGTTGAGGAGCAGCCAGTCTAGGAACATATATTCCCCAGGGAAAACCCATATAAGTAGCAGCAGATGTCGGTAGCAGTTTTACTTTGCAATCTGTACATTCATCCACCCTTTGAAAAGGGTGGCAGGGAATGCAGCCATGGACAGATGGACCAATGACCATTGGATTGGCCAGTCTGCCTGAAGAGAGTTATGGCCCAGGAGTTATGTGGTAGGAGTGGAAGTCCACATAGAAGTCCCAAATTCCATTGGCCTGGGGACAAAAGGTAAATACAGTTTAAGGTAAATACAGGAAAAAATATACCTACCTAAACAGGATAGCATGGGCCTGATGCACTCAGGTCAGGTCCCCTTTATACTGCTCTGGCCCTTTTAAAAGTATTACTTCTGTTTTATGTCCATGTAATTCGTCCTTAAGCTAAAGTAAAGCAATGGTGAATCAGTCAAATACAGAGTGGCAGAAAGAGAAACCAGAAAACTAGTCAGACATTTGATACTGGAGACTGGTGGGAACTTCAGTGGGTGACATTTGGTTTCATTGTTTTTCTGTGGTCATCAGTTTAGAAACTATGCTGAAGTAAGCAGGCATGGAAACAAGAATTGTTGACAGCAAGATGGGAAATAGATACATAATAAGTTTAAATTAATCCTCTCTATTGACTTCAATAAAGTTATGCTGAGTTGAGTGCAGCTAAGTCACTTTGTGTGTCCTAGTGTGGTTTCTAAGACACTGACTATGAAAATAGAAATCATTCCCTTTCAATTATCTCATTGTCACCCATTTTTCTTGTTCATCCCAGATGAGAATATTTTGCACACAGATACCAAATATACACCGTACGGGGCCCATAGTTTCCACCGTTACAGGAAAAAGAGCTCTTACCCTGTATACAGTGGTGAGCACACTTTCGACTGCCTTTTACGGGGGTATTTAGTTTCTAAGTTATGGCAGTCTTTCCTGTCCCTGTGGGCTGCAGTTCGGCCCAGAATCTCCATAGCTGGCGTGCCTCCTACACAGGGCTTGTGAGAGTCCTTGAAAAGTAGCTGTATCGTTGTATTCCACATTGCTTGTGCCAGGGAAACCCTCACCCTGCAGAACCCTGGGCTTTTAGCTTTCATTTACATCCCTTTTAAAAGAGCAGGTGCACGTGTTGTCGGCAGGTTTTAGAATCAGTTAGCTCACAATGGCTCCACGAGTCCTTGCTTGTCTCTGGTGGAGAACATCTTGTGCTCCAATATTTAAACTTTGATTCAAAAGAAATATTAAGAAAACCTTTAAAAATGTCAGCCTGTGGTCAGCCTGATACAGTTGCTTTAAGAAAGGTGTGAGCTCCCCATCCATCTTAATAAGGAGTTAATGCTGAAGCACAATGATAACATTTTAAAGGTCAACAATGTTAATTACTTCACTGCTGATTAAAACACATATGAAAAGGGATAATTATGTTATGAAGATCTGCATAATATGCTGTGAGCACCATTTCATTTTGATGTCACATGTAGGTAGAGCAGGGGCAGAGCTTTGGGACAGTATGATCAGTTCTAAATTACTTACAGTGCAAACATCTGGATCAGATAACCCCCAAAACATCCAGTAAAGCTTGTCATAGCTTTGACCAACACTTCATCATTTTGCTATATTTCAAAACCATAGGGGAGAATGTTCACTTTGTTGACATTTAGGCACAGCTCTCAAGTGGGATTGCATATCATATTAATTTTTCTGAAGGACATAATTTTGCTGAAAATGAATGACAGGTTTCAGAGTAGCAGCCGTGTTAGTCTGTATCTGCAAAAAGAAAAGGAGGACTTGTGGCACCTTAGAGACTAACAAATTTATTTGAGCATAAGCTTTCGTGAGCTGAAGCGTGCTGAAAATTAATGTCATCCTAACCCTGAAGCAAAATAGAGAAAAACATCCTGTTTAGTGTTTATGGATAATGTACAATTGAACCTGCATATCTAACAATCTCCAATCTTCTGTGGAACAATCTATATTTAATACTGGATTCCATCGAGCGAATGATCTCTGAACAGATCCTTAATGAATCAGTGAAAAAGCTATTACCAGGAACATTTCCTAATAATCTGTATGTGGATTTCCCCCTTAATTCAACACATACAGTTTATCTTTTTGGCATACAGCTGGCAACAGTTCCTATATTTTCCCCCTGCATTATTCGAGATTGCAGCTTGTAACCATTTTTATTAAATTACCTATTTATATGTTATATTTATGGCAAAATGCTTTTTACGTCATTCATGTGAGTGTCTCCACTGAATATACTCACTCACATGAGTAAGAGAAACAGGATTCTAGATTGTAAACTCTTAGGGTTAGGGACTGTCTCCTTTTCTCTCCTGTCCTGTGCAATGCCAAACTCAATGTTGGTGCATAGAAAATAATAGTAACACAAATGTACAAGCAACTGTAATGTTGCTTGTCTTATCAGGGAATGGAATTAAGGAGGATTGGGAATTCAAGAGCAAATTGGATCCCAGTCTTGCTCTAAATAAAGTGATGATCATGAATATTACACAGTAAAATGCTGAAACTAAGCTAAGACACCATAAATCAAACTTCAGCCCTCATTTCATTGTCCATGCAAAAATTAACCTCCTATCTTTCTTTAATACAGTTCTATAAATTAACAAGAACTGGAAGTTGTAAACTTTAAGACCTGAACTCTTTTCAAACAATTGAATGCATATAGCAGAAAATTGGCATCAGTGTAAAAGCAGCTGCAGTACATTCCAAATATTGCTCTATTTAAAGCATCCCAGAGCTCACAGTAACAACTGCTGAGGCAAACCTTAAAACTTGTCAATAAATCCAGTAGAGGGAGGAATGGCAGAAGTAGGTAAGATGCACAGATAAATAATGTATGTTTAAAATGCATATGTATAGCAGTATAGTGCAAAGATATTATGCTACTTGTAAGCTACTAATTCCTAGATGATGTATTGTATATTTTACTTTTCAGTAAAGGAATAGAGTAAATTTGAAATCCAATCTGATAAAAAAAATAAAGTTAAAAGTATTTTGAAGTCTCCTGCTTCTGAATCTCACTGGCAGTTTTTGTGCTTTTACAATCACATTTTCCTGTTTTTTAAAAGTCTGTCCCCATGAAAGACTAACAGTAAGGGAAAGTGACTAACTGACTTTACAGGTTAAACACTAAAAATGACTATATGCAAAGTATTGTCAAATATACCAACACACTGGAAACCGGAGAACACTTTTTTCTCTTTGATCTCTTTCAGCAGTAGTCATCTCAGTTGTTTAAACAACAGTAGTTGCAATCTATTCAGCCAGACATGTACTTTTTAAGTTGACAGGAGTCTCTAATTTACCAAACTATTGTGAATATTTTGATTTGTGTTTAACAATATATTCAGTGCATGTATATGTATAGATTGTGTGTGTATAAATGATATTGTTTGTGTGGGTACAGTCTGAGGGTATGGGAAAGTGAGAAAGATAAATACCCTTTTGTTTTTATATGAGCTAGGTTGTGACTCCACAGTTTCCAAATGGCAGGGCAAAGTGAAATCACAACGTGTGATTTTTGCATTGATTGCCCATAACAAACGACAATAAAGTGCATTCTACACATAGTGACACTGCTGTATTTACACCATTTTCACGAGGAGTGGATGGAAAGCAACTATAGGTGTAACCATGTTGGTGGTTGGTACATGTAGTTACTCAAGTTGTTTACTTGTAGAAATGTTCTGTTTGATTTATTATTTGTAGTATTAAGTGTTATAAATTTGTAGATGGTAAAAGCCAGTGAGAACAATCTGCCACCTACACAGTCACCATTGGTATCTTCTAAGTACAGGGAAAACTGTGCTAATCTCAGCTTCAGCAGTGTGATAAATGTTGGTGAATGCTGACTTTTTTTCATTTCAACCACTATGCAGAATAAATAATAATATTTAGTATTTATATAGCTGTTTTATCCATAGATATCAAAGTACTTTACATCAGTAGGGTATGTCTCATTGTTCCCATTTTACAAATAAATAAATAAAGGAAGACACACACGATTTGGCCTAGATTTTACAGTAAAACAGTGGTAGAGTCAGGACTAGAACCCAGGTCTCCTGACACCCAGCCTGGTGCCCTATCAACTAGATGCCACTGTTTCCTATATAAGTATATCTTTAACCAAGGTCCTATGTACTCAACTGCAAGCTGGATCAAAATTCTCCATTAAGGTCCCTGGCTCTTGCAATACCTCAGTGCAGCAGACAGACAATTCATGAGGCAACCTCACTTAACTGAAAGATAAAAGGATTTTAATTATTTAAATATGAAAATTGCTAAAACAATCCATACCAGAGCTCTCCCTTTATTTATTTTGTTATTGAAATGAATTTTCAGTGTGTCAGAGATTTTGTATTGACAATACATAATTGCATTGAAGAAGCTGTCAGAGGAGTTTGGCAGGTGGACAGTGGACATCTGGGGCTTTTGACATCTAGGAAGATGTAGTATGCAGTGTATCATCAAATACACATTCTGAAAAAGCAGGATTGACAGATTTATTTTATCATTCTAATCCACGCATACAAGTATGGATGGGTGCCTGGTTATTAACTATTTCATCATATTGTTGACCCTTTGGGATACTGATGCCTCAAACCAGCACCTCTTTAGCGTGAGCTGACTAGCCCAGGAGATGGATTGATTTGTGTAATTGGAATTATCACTTTATAAAGAGTGCTTCTCTTCTTTAGAAAAGTATTTTTTTGATTGCACATTCATTTTAGAATGTTGTAACTTTCTGCTCCAGTCAGAAATTCTTTGTAACATTATTTTCCTGTAAGAATGACATTCCCTTATTGCTCTTTGGATAGATGTTACAAATAAAAAAAAAATAAAGTCCATATTTTATAAAAGCAGCAACATCTTCCATGCTGTGTAATTGTGAACAATATATGCCTCTTCGATACTGAGGACACAAAGTCAACAAAAGCTCCTGAGTTATTTATATATTCTTATACGCAGATCCCATGCTAGTCCTTTCTTCAGAGTTTGTTGGAATGAGTCTCCTTATCCTAGGGAAATAATAGAATCTTAGAAGAATCTTTAAATTTCTTTTAAGACCAACATATTTGTATGGTCTCTATTCTGTACCATAAAGCATGTGTGGCTATAGATATGTAGATGGACACACATAGGCAGCATCTGCCATATTGTGACAAGCACTTACAAGGATACAAGGGGAATAGATGTAGACAGTGACACATAATGACCCCTCCCTCAGTGCACCCCATAGGCATATAGCACCCCAGAGGGGACAGCGAGGCAGAGTTTATAGCCTGTCTCCATCTGTACCAGCCCTCAGCGCAGGCTCACAGCACAGGGTGGTGCAGCATACACCGTCTCCTTTGCATGGGGTTGCACAATCCCTCCACGAGCTCCCGAGTGATTCCACACTACTCCATATTCAGACTGTTGGCTAAATGGTAGTTTAGGGGTATGTGTGTGTACATACGGTATAGAATATAAAAAAATCTACTAAGTGAAATCTGCTGAGATATTTGGGGGTTAAGGGGCATGGGAGGTATAAGATCAAGATTTTTAAGCCTGTGCAAGGAGCAAATTGGCTTGCACACTGGCTTAAAGACCAAAGAATGTGGTTTTTACTCACCACTGTAAACCCATTTCAGCCCTGGCCAGATTGGACCATCTCAAGTGCAATAGGAGTTCATTGAGACCCTGGGCACAATCCTATTCATGTTAGGGGGAGCTTTACCTGAGTAAAGACTGAAAAGCTGAGCCCTTACACCGTTCTGGATAAAAAGGAGGAAGCTGAGTGAGGAATGGAAAGACTGGCTGCTTAGTGCCCATTTCCAGTTATATACTGCACTTAGCCAGTAAACCCTCATTCATGCAAATATCCTGTACTAGCAAAATCCTTGACTTCATAAGGACTACTCATGGGAGTGAGGATTGCAGGATTAGGCTCTTTACACTTGTTCTTGCAAGCTGCTGAAGTGCAGAGATCCAAAGCACTCAGTTTGCTCCTTTCCTGTGCAGAGGAGCTTCCGTGGAGTGTGCAGAAAAGAGCAGGGTGCTCGGCAATCTGAACAAACCCCTGGCTCTGAGATTCATACAACTAAGAAAGAGGAAAAACTAGGGCGATGGGGAGAAAGAGAGCATGGCAGTAGCATAGGCGCTGACTGGCAAATATGGGGCATAGCAGCTGTTTTTAGGATTTTCAGTTACTCCTGCTGTCAACCACCTCTCTGATCCAAAGTCTCTTGAAGTCAGTGGGCCTTTCCGTTGACTGCAATGGACTTTGGATTAGGTCCCAGGAGCAGTGTCTTGTGCTTGTGAGCAGTGTTTAGGACTGCTCCTCCACTAACATAAATGCTTCCAATGGTTCCTATGAAACACTATTCCACAGAGCCAGCTGCTCAGTGCTTTATGATTTATGCTGGGCAGTGTTCTTGCTGACCCACCAGCTTGCAGCACCTGCTTCTCATATCTTACTTCATCTAATTAGCTCTCAAGTAACAAAGCACCATACTCAGCAGCCCTACTGTTAATTTAGCAACTGTTCTGTACAAACTCTGTGCTGCCACCCTGCAGGATACAGCCCTTCATTTGTAATGTGACCTTTAGGAAATATTACAGCCAGTCTCTCAATAGAAGTATCTTTCTCTAATGAAGTATCCGATACGTAAGTGTCTCAAAAAGAAAGTGTAGTTTGGAATTTCCTTGTGGCTCCATGTCACCAAAACCCTACAATGGAGTTTATCTTTGTGTTATGTGGTTGCTTATCCATGCTGTATTTTAAATAGAAGTCTATGCAGTTCTTGTGTGTAGAGGTGCTGTCTGTTATTTAGTGGTATGGCATGCTCTGTGTATTTAGCTTTTATAGTGTAGTGAGCAAAATATTGAGCTGTTGATTACCCCACCAAGACTGCCAATGTGATCCAGTCACCTCAATGTGATGCATGGTCTTATGCTATCAAAACACTTCCTATATTTTTCATTGCTGGAGGACTTATTTTGAAATGTTTTGTAAAAGGAAACTAAAGTGGACTCATCCTGGCCACAAAGTATTTCTGTGGATCCCATTCTTAGTAGTAAGCTTTTGAGCAGTACAAACTTACTATTTGCTGGAAGAGGTTGAAATTTTTTTCTTGAAATCCTGATTTAGAACAGAAATAGATTTTCCTAAAACTTGATTTCTATTTTCTAAACCACTGTGCTAAATAAGAATCTTTTCATGTACAATCATAATTTTACATGGTAATTAAAAAATCCGTTAGGTTTTCAATATTGTCTATTATTGGTTGCCTCAGTTCACTGGTCTTTTTTTTTTTTTAAAGATCAGCACAGTTTTCACATGTTTTACTTAACAGATTTAGAGTTAGTGTAACGTGACCTATCTGTCATACTCTTTCTGAATAAAAGTCTATATTCTCTCTCTTCAGGGGAAATCCCATACTCACGTCTTGTTGTACCTGCACTTCTCATGGTTGGCTGGATTGTGGGTTGTGTATTAATGGTTTACATCGTCTTTTCTTGATGAAGGTAAGTTATTTGTACAGTGTGCATATTCAGTCAACACTTATTACAATTTGCAGTGCTACCTTTTTACTAAGGGAATTTTTTGTTCTGCAGAAAAGAAGATTTCACAATGACATTGATTGGAAGAACCCAGAAGTTAAATGGAAATGTCTAGTCCTTACAACTTGTACAGTGCCTATTTTATTTTAATACCACAATGTAGGCATGATATACACTTTCTATCTACAACATAGATATGAGGTTAGTTCAGATACTTCTGAACTGAGTGGTATTTGGAGTCCTGTGGTAGGTCAGGTATTTGCCTACCCTCCAAACCACTAGTTCCTAGCCATCTTGAAAATCAGCCTCCTTGGAACTAAAATGTCCAGAATCCTTATTTTTGGTGGTGACAAACAGTGCCAAATGGAGCTGGTGACCTAGATACACAAGTAAACTCTGTGGGATGCAAGACACCTCGAAGCAGTACATGGATCATCTTTAATGTCTTGCGGTAGAAAGGAAATACTAAATTAAATAATAAATTGTCGAAAAATCCCCCTAACTCTGGAATAATGTTTACTCTCTAAATAAATTTTCCAAAACAAAATTCTCTTTTCTCATTTAAAATGCAATCACACCAACATGGCTATGTATAAATCCATAGTGTTCTCTGGAGGATGAAAGGGAGCTAGGAAAATTTGCTATATTTATGTGGCAAGAATTCTATATGTAGTTTGTAGTATAAGCATGACTTCATAAGGCCTGAAAGCTTAAAGTATTGTCTAATAAACATGTAGATAAGTGTCAACTTAACTCTTGATCTTTGATGTTTAAATCCAATTCTAGGGACAGATTCTGATCTCCTCACTCAGAATCCAGTCTAGTTCCCATCAGAGTAATTGGGACTTGACTTCACTGGAAGTTGGATTGGGCCTTACCACAAGTAATTCCATTAAATTTAATAGGACTGTCTGCATCAGGAGAGAAGAAATTGACCCTTTGGTGGCTGATGAAAATGATTTTCTCATTTTAGTGTCCATTTGTGCACATTATCAAATCAATATCAAATTTGGTACAGGTGGCATGTCTGGAAAAAAAACCCCTGTGTGTAGAATAGCAGGGGAGATGTGGTTCAGGAGTGAGGTACATAGGGAGAGCTGTCTGGAGAAGCTTACACAATAATTACACCAGTGATACTAATCACTGACTTTATTTGGAACTAATAATTCACTCCCAGGGCGAGGCTACACTTGCGAGTTAGAGTGCATTAAAGCAGCCCTGAGCACCCTAGCTCACTAGCCATTCACACTGGCAAGGCACGTAGAGCGCTCCTGGTACACCACCTCGGCGAGAAGATTAATGCTTGGTGTGCCTTGGCTGAGACACCCAGGTGTCAGTGTGAACAAGGTGTTGCATTACTGCACTCTGATTGGCCTCCAGAAACGTCCCATAATCCCCTTAAGTCAAGTGGCCACTCTTGTCATTGTTTTCGAATCACTGCAGGAATGCGGCTATACCCTTTGAAAGCACCATTTCTGACAGCCGGCATGCTTATCTGCTCTGAGACAAAGCAAACTATTATGGTGGAACGCTGTGTGTGAGAGAGAGAGAGACGGCGGGGGGGTCTGCTGCTGTCTAAACTTACAAGACAGCATGCTGACATGCTCTCAGCCCCCCCCCCACCCAATCTCTCTTCCCCCCACATTCCCTGTCACACCCCACTTCCCCTCCCCCAAAGCACATTGCAGCCACTTGCATAGTGGGATCGCTACCACAATGCACTGCTCTCTGTGGCCGTTGCAAGAGCTGCTAATGTGGCCATGCCAGTGTGCTTGCAGCTGTCAGTGTGGACAGGTTGCAGTGCTTTCCCTACTGCACTCTGCGAAGGCTGGTTTAACTCAGAGCGCTCTACATCTACAAGTGTAGCCATGCCCATAGTGGAAGACAAGAATACTTAGGGCATGGCTACACTTGGAGATATAGAGCGCTTTGAGTTCTGCAACACCTCGTTCACACTGGCGCCACGGCGCTCCAGCAGGGGCGCAGCAAATGTTATTCCACTCGCCGAGGTGGAGTACCAGCAGCGCTGTAGCCGTGGAGTAAGAGCGCTCTACGTGCCTTGCCAGTGTGGACGGGTAGTGAGCTAGTGCGGCCAGGGCTCCTTTATTGCAACTTGCAAGTGTAGCCAAGCCCTTAGGTAATGTTTTGATGAATGCATTAAAACTATATCACAGGATAATGGTCCCATTTCCTAGTTACAGGCACCAGCCCACGAAGGAGTGAGTGCCTTCTGAGCCATGCCAGTTTTCTTTAGTGCAGAGGTGGACAAACAACAGTCCATGGGCCACATCCAGCCCATGGGACCGTCCTGCCGAGCCCCTGAGCTCCCAGCCAGGGAGGCTAGTCCCTAGCCCCTCCTCCGCTGCTCCCCCTCCCTTGCAGCCTCAGCGTGCTGCTCCGCCAACGCTCTGGCCTGCTGTTCCTGCCAGGCAGCACGGCGGCGTGGCTGGCTCCAGTGTGGCAGGGAGCGGGGGGTCCCGGGGAGCAGTCAGGGGACAGGGAGCAGGGGGGCTGTTGGATGGGGTGGAGGTTTGGGGGGGGTCAGGGAATGGGGAACAGGGGAGGCTGGATACGCATGGGAGTCCCGGGGGGCCTGTTAGGGGGCGGGTGTGTGGATAGGGGCGGGGCAGTCAGGGGACAGGGAGAAGGGGTGTTTGGGTAGGGGGTGCGGTCCCGGGAGGGGGCAGTCAGGACAAGGAGCATGGGGGGTTGGATGGGTAGGGGGTTCTGAGGGGCGCAGTCAGGGGGCGGGAAGTGGGAAGAGGCGGATGGGGGCAGGGACCAGGCTGTTTGGGGAGGCACAGCCTTCTCTACCTGGCCCTCCATATAGTGTTGCAACCCCGATGTGGCCCTCAGGCCAAAAAGTTTGCCCACCCCTGGTTTAGTGCCTCAACTCAATATTTTCTGAGAACCTTCCGGATGGTTGCTAAGCTGCTAAGGTGAGATAGACACTTAAACCCTGCACTTGAAGCCACCATTTATGTGATCGAGTGCAATAGAAAGAAACTCTGAGCAGATTTGCTGACACATCCTGGTACCCCCAGTTTATGTGCAGCAACAGATTGACGTGTGGCCCTGGAAGCAAAGTACACTCTTGTCCGGTCACATAGTAAGGAGAGTGACCGAGGAATGCAAGTGCATCTGTGTGTTAGAGAGTGGCATATGAAATAGAAAGCTATTTGATCATTTTATTAGATCACAATATTTTTTTGGGGGGGTCCTTTTCTGCTGTATCATTATAGGGGGCCTTTGTAATATCCCCATAATAGCAGCCTCCCACCCCCTTCCTCAAGGTGAATTTCTATTTCTTCATTCTGATGGAAGGGAGCTCTTGGCCCCGCTACTCCTTTCTTTCTCCTGTCGTCTCAGGAGAGAGATTCTTGAAGACTTCCCCCAGGAGCAGCTCCTCTTGTCATTATGGGAAAGCCCTGCAGATTACAGGAGCACCAGCTTGAAAGCTGTATACCTCCAAGCACCAGCTGGAGACATTCACACTTCCAAGACAGACACCTGGTTCATGGGACAAGATGCTAAACACTTTGCACTCAGAATAGTGAACTGAAGCTGGTGATGTCCGCTTAACTTTGGATAAAGAAATAGACGTGTAAGGAGGGGGGCTGGAGAAGTGAAGGCTGAAGGAGCAAGAATTGAGGTGAGAAGGATACCTTGCGATGAGGGGGGCACAGCAGAGGTCACAGAGTAATAAAGGGCCAAGCATGAGTGGATACATCAGTTAATTTATTTTGGGGAAGATTGTAATATGTGTTTTAGGTACCCAGCGAGGGAATTATCATTTGCTTTTCCTAGGGTAGAGCAAGGATTGGTTAAATGGTGTGTTTGTTTTCTGTTACTATGGATGAGTGTTTGTTTATTTTGAGTAAAGATCCCATGGCGACAAGTCAATGGAATTACTCAAGATTTATACTGCTGTAATTGAGAGCAGAATTTCACTCAATGGGTTGTTTTTTTTTTGGTCAGGTAAAGATTTTAGGACTGGGCTATTAATTTGCTGCACCCAGCTTGTACAGCAAAAGTGATTTATATATACAGATGTTACTAAGCATACGGTTGTGGAGTTTAAGGCCATAAGAGACCACCAGATTATCTAGTCTGACCTAGACTAGACACACTTTCAACATCAGGTTTTCTTTTAAACCGTCAGTTCCCCTTGGATTCCTAATACTCTAATGACCCTAATATTTCACAATCTAATCTAGGAATAGCTGCATATGACAGTTATGGTTTTTGTTTTCTTATGAATTGGACCTTGTAGGCCTGGCAGCAGAGTGCATTAAAACACATATTACAATCTTCCCCAAAATAAATTAATTGATTGATTGAAAAGCCTTGGGGAAAGCCTCATCCGATGAAGTGAGCTGTAGCTCACGAAAGCTTATGCTCAAATAAATTGGTTAGTCTCTAAGGTGCCACAAGTACTCCTTTTCTTTTTGCGAATACAGACTAACACGGTTGTTACTCTGAAACCTCATAAGACAAGCGTGCATACTTTCTTGAAAGGTTTGCTCAGCCGCAGACACCATTGTCAGGGTGGATGATATAATGCATTGAGAGAGTACTTCTGAAATATTAGAGTGTTCCAGATTTGTAGGAATGGATTTGATATATTGTTTTTTCCACTCGTTTCACATGTGAGCTCATTTACATGGAGCTGAAAGGGTAAAACAAAATCAGATGTATAAAACCAGAAAATATTCATAGAATCTCAATGCCAAAAGGCAAGCTTGATAAATATTCAAACAGCTGTCTCGACTTCGTGTCATCATCCATATCAGATGTGTTGAAGCAGCTGTTTCAAGTGGATTTAAGGTTAGTTCGATTAACATTGAAATAGATTAGGATGTTAGTGCATTTCTTTGAATTCTTTTCTGAAAGCAAGCCCAGTAAAGTAAATAGAATTTGCAAATACATATTTATCACATTAGAGATGGTTTTCTGACCCTGTCCTTGAGTTCAGATTGCAGTGTTTTGTTGGATTTTTATGCCAAGTAAATAAAAACTCAGTTTTCATCTTCTGCCCATTGACAAATCAAACCAATAAATAGAACATACATTAATTGTAGTCAGGACTGCCTCAAGTAAATTTGGGTTCTGTTGAGAAATTATTCAATTTAATTCCTAAGATTTGGTGAACAAACCTCTTTCTCCTGAATACCTTACCTGCCCCGGTCTCTTATACAGTGTCAGCTATAGAGATTAAGTGCCTCAAAAGGAAGGGAGGATAGGTAATGAGTCTGAACTGGTGTTTGTGGAAGCAGTTCGGGGAATGGAGATTTTCTGTTAAACAGGGGAGGTAACCTGTGATACGCTCCAGCCAAGGCCATGTCAAAGTGGGAGATGATTTTATTTCACAGAGGGCTCACAGAAGTCTAAATCAACACCTCATCCTTCATCCCGTGCAATATTTGTCCCTGATATTGCAACTGGATCTGCATGGATGGACACTTGCCTCCACATGGAGACACCGTGTCTGATTTCGGTGGGGGGGGGTCTCTGAGTGTTTGTGCAGTGCCTAGCACAATGGGCCACCATCCTGTTCGGGGCTTTTGGGCACTAGCTTAATATAAATATTAAATTATAATAAC